ATTCAATAGTACATTTCAAATATTTTAAACATATTTTGAATAGGAACTTATAACATTTTTACCATCTGCAAATTCTGCGCTACGGGCTACAACTATAGAAACATTATGCGGTGTTGAGTTTTCATTTACATGGGGCTTTGGTAAGACAGATCGTGTCAGCTGACTCGGATTTACGTACCGTACGTACGTTTATGTTCTTGACTAGTTTCAGCTTTAGTGCTCACAACACAAAACGAAAGTATTGTGCATATCATAGGACGTAGCATTTTCCAAAGACATAAACACACACATACACAATGCAAAGAAACCTACTGAAGGAGTTGAACCATTCTGCTAACTTCATAGGCAACATTCATTTACTCAGCATTAAAGGAGTGAATGGTTTCCTTTGTTTTGCAAGTGAGCAAAAGAACAAACAATTCGTTTGGTTTGTACTCAGCTGCAATTGAAACGTATCATGTATTGTTAGTGCTCGGGATCAGTATGACAAAAGGAGCACAAACTTTTCGTACTTGTTGTGGGAATGGGTAGTGATACGTTCGGTTTGTTTTCGTACTCTGCAAACCACCTTCTATATCGACAGGCCTTGATTCAAAGATAGTGGCACTGGGTATACAAAATTCGGCTGCAATTCAAGCTTGCAAACTTGTCTCTGGGCTTCGACCTAATTATAGCAAAGTAAAGAAGTATACTTGAGAGGTAAAGTTGTTTAGTAAAGTATATGTACTCCAAGAATAGCATAGAACCTGCCTTGTTTGTTTCTAATTGGAGATACGGAGACCGTCCGAAATTTCCTGTTCGGTTCCGTTTGTGGTATTCGATATAAATTTTTATACCAACTCATTATTTTATGCGCTATTTTTTCGTCTTGAAACACTGTCAAGCAATAATAAAGTGCATCATTTACCGCTCGTGTAACTTCTCGTATGGATATGAGCATAAATATGTATGTACATTAGACTGCATCACTCCCCATACAAAAAAAAAAAGCGGTACTGTTTTTCCACTGTAATTATAAAATATATTATATTTTAAGACTTCCACCAAAATATCTCGGAAAATTTTTAAGATTTACGTGAGCTGGACCGATTTGAAAATAACTCCAAAAATTTTGTATTTTTTATTAGTAAAAATTTTTTGAAAAAAATCACCTTAGATGACCAAACAGTTTAATCTTAAAAAAATTTCATAAAAATATTTTAAAAAAAAGTTCTACGGAATCATAATAATGAGATTTTTGGTGCTGTTTTTGATCTTTTTTCAAAGACTGTTTTAATAAAAGCTTGAATAACTGAGCGAAAACATTACAAATTTAGACTTATGAGTTATCATTGGTAAGGTATTTTCTCAGCCCTTTAATTTCTTTGCGAATAAGCTCATTCAAAGTATGAAAGAGGAAGATGTGTTGGTATTTGATAAAGACAAAATTGGGACATGAATCAGTTTTTTTTGCAAAGAAATAAAAAGGGTGAGAAAATCTTAATATTTTTCAGAAATATTTTTGTAGAAGTCTTAAAATATAATAGATTTTGTAATCCCATCGGAAAAACTGCAACTTTTTTTGGTGATGCAGTCTAATGTACATATATAATTGAAATTCTCGGCTAGAGCGTTCGTTTGTGATCGTGGACTTACCTGCCTAGTGCGGTTCGCCTGCTTCTTGCATGACCGTTTGCCTCCTAGCAAACCAGATTGGGTTGATAGCAGCACCAGCTGCTGGATGCTAGCCCTCTGGGTGCAGGAGCACTACAGCAACAGCACGTAAACGAGAGCGACTGAGTGAGTATATAACCAAAGTATAGTATATGCGTGAGCAATGATTGTTGTCGCTCGACAGCGCTTCGGCTGAGTTGGTTGGACGCTGGGTTGATTAGTCGATCGAGTCGATTTTCAGCGTTTGGCTTTGGTAGTTTTGGTGGCGAGTCACCGGCAAAATAGCAAAACATTCGTCTACTCCACACCGCAGCGAACGTACACGCTGTTGCAGACAACGCGCACGGTTGAAAACAATCAAAACAAAACGGTTGAAAATTAGACCTAAAACAAAAATCGGCGACGATCAAAATATAAATATAGTAAAATCAAGATTCAAAAAATTGCACGCGCATACAATTTTTACAAGAGCTCATCAAAAGCATAAAAAAACAACGAAATTGATTTAAACACGGTACGTGTGTAAAGCTAGAAAAAAATTTGCGAGTGTTGGAGTGTGAAAATCAAACAGATCCTTCAACATATGGAAGTGTGGGCAAGGACTAAAAAAAAGACACTTCAATAATGTCATTGATTTTTTTTTTTTTATTTAATTGACTTAGTTTTACCGCGATCAGCTCGATACGCTTGGCATTTAGATTTTTTTGTGGCTTCGAGCACTTCGCGTCAGCGTGATCGCTAAAAATCGTTTTACATATATCGCTTGGGTGACTACAAAATATGTAGATTTTTATATTCTTGTGTTAGATGAATTATGAAACAAATTTATTTTCAGAACATAATTGCACCTACATATGTACATACATATACATATATGTATGTAATTAATAAGCGCGTGTGACATAGAAAATGCGAGAAAGCAGTGTTGATTTATTTGTTGACAGCTGCGAATTGTTTTTGTAAATAATAAAGGGTGTGTATACATATGCGTGTGTGTATGTAAGAAAGAAAAAGTGGTAGATATCAAAAAAGCACTGCATTAAAATGTATGTACATACCTATGACAGAACGAAAGAAAACGAAATAAAACAATCAAAACAACCTCGAAATTTCGCATAGATATTTAATAAATACGGCCAAGGCTGTTGAACTTTATATGTAGATGGCGAGGTAAAGCCACGTACATATGTATGTAGTACTAAATAAAAAATTTGAAAAATGAGAGGCGAAATCACCAAGTTTTTCTGAAATTTATAAATTCGTAAAGTGTCTTTCCAAAAAATCTTGTCAACACCTTTCCGGTGACTAATTTCTTTAGCGAATTATCATACCCTGTAGTAAAATTCTCATAGAGTTAAAGAACGACCTCGACTGAACGAGAACTCACTAGCGCTGAGCTATGTAAAGAAACGCAGCGTTGCCGCACTTTATAATTATACAAAATTGTATGTATGTAATTAGAAACAACAAACTCAAAAATATGTCAGGTAACTATGTACACATAAAAAATGGTATTCCAGCAAACACTTGAAAGCCGCAAGCCCCTCCAACTATAAATAGCCGCCACGCGAACAACGCTGCCAAGCAAACAAACGCTTTTTGTGTGGCATTATCAGCTAAGACAGCTGAGTGGGCACTTCATGACTACAGGCAAACATAATTAAGCCATTTTCAAACAGCTGATGATCTTTACCGACCGACAGCCCGCCTGCCTGTGGATGAATAATAACAACCTGTGACGGCCGCACAAACAAAATGAGCCAAAAAGAAACAAGCACAACAAAAACTCGCACTATTACCTGAGCAGGCAGAAAATTTATTATAAGTTCATACTACAAATGATTTATGGAGAAAAGTGAGCAAGCATTTTGCCGCTGAGTGAGGAGGAAGTAGCGTATACCCCTAGCTAACTAATAATTTGGTTAACTAGCTCCGACGCTAGTAAAACTTTAAAACGACACGCTTATGACCTTAGCGATTGAGCGTGCAAACGATCGGCTGGATCAATGCTTCGAGCACGTAAGCCTAAATGGGTGTGGATATGTGGATGTGGCTCTGCGGCGCTTGTTTGGCTCAGTAAACGATCGAACAGGTGAACGATCAATTTATGACTTAAATGAGATTTAACCTGTATGTGTAACAAGCTGCCTGCTGTATGCTCACAGCATTCGGGCAAGAAAATTTAATTATGTTGATAAAGCAAACGCCAGCAAATTAGCAACAAATCAACAGATAAACACTAGCAAGCAAGCACAAGCGTTAGAAATTTTTATTTGGCGGAAATATTAAATTGTGTGTTATTGAACTGCGCTGAATGCAGGCACTTAATGTTATCGAGTGATCTGTCTAATGTGGTGATGGTGAAATATTCCAATTAATAAATGTTTAACAGAGAGCAATAATAAAATCGTAATTTAAAAAATGGTCATTGCCATCAAATAATCATATAATTCATATCAATTTTATATAAGATCAAATGATCGTCTAAAGGCTGGTGGCTGGAAGCTTGTGGTTGCAGCGAAGTTTCATAGCTATTATGGAGGGACTGCGGCTTTGCTTTGTACGAATTCCGAAATATTTCATAAGATCAAAAGTTTAAATATTTTATTGATGACAAAGACTATGCGAGAAATGAAATGGAGCACTCTAAATCGTAATTTTTGCGTTGATAAGAAAAAAAAGCGAAAGCCTCATTTTATTAGCTATTTTGCTTTAAATATTTTTTTAAATTAAATAAATATTTGTTTTATATTATCAGAAGTAAAAATTCCACTCTCAAACATTTTCGTAAATAAATAAATAAACACCCAATTCCTTCTCATTCGGATTTTGCTACGAATCGTAGAAATAGTATGCTGAAATCCGAATCGTATTTGCGAACTTTCGAAATTCGTACCAATGGCATGCCTAAAAACGAACGAGTTAGAAATTGATAGCTTTTTTGCGTAATTTTGTACGAAAACAATTCTGTGTCGGAGGCGAGATAAAAGGTGTAAATCGATCTGTGTTTGCAGGAGTGGTGTTCATTTAAACAGATAAATTTGGCTTTCGTATATACGTATACTTTTATCTACTGCTTTATATAAATGAACAAAAAATAATCTTTGTTGCCCTTATCGAGAAACTTGGGTCCGGTTTAGTTATTTGTACAATGATTTTCGGTTGTTGTGGCCAAACGCATAACCCGAATCTAAAAACATTTACATACACGTGTAATCAAAGGATTAAACTTGAATTAAAATAAATTTTTCAAATTTCCGAGCAATGGTTTATTATGCACTTTCTTCTAAATCTCGATGTGGGTTCTGCGCAAAAATACTGTGGATGGCGTAGCCGGAGTTATATGCACAAGAAATGTTGTATGCCTTTGAAATGTGGAAGCCCCTCTTCTCCGGCAAGACAGAAAGGAGAATTATACTAAGTAAGGGATATAATCCCTAAGCGCGTCCGAAGGCAGAAGCAAGCGCAACAGGTGGTGGACCCAACAAAGTGCATGTTTTCAATGGCTTGGAAGTAGCTGTTATTGCATTAACTGGATTGAGAACCAGTTCTTCAGGCATAGGAGGTTGTGGTTGAACAATTAAACCAGAAGCTGACATAGATGCGTCCATGGTTACTATGCCCGACGGCTCCACATAGATTGGCGTTTACACATATGTTAGTGTTTGACCGAGCTTCTCCTCCGATTTGTGGCGTGCGCCTTGATGTTGTCACACAAAGCGGAGGGACCTACAGTTTTACGCCGACTCCGAACGGCGATTGTATTTTTATGAAAAGCTGTTTTTCATGGCAGAAATACACTCGGAGGTTTGCCATTGCTTGCCGAGGGACGACCGCTGTTAAGAAAAAACCTTTTTCCATATTTTTCGCGATGTTGCTTTGATCAGGGCTTGAACCCAGGTGCTCATGTATGAAAGCGCGCACTGCTTACCACTACACCACAGCGGCCGACAGCTCCACATATCTTTGTGAATTCACTTCCATAGTGCGCTCTTACTCTGCTGCTATAATTGCAAATGGAATAGAATCCATCGTTTCCTTCAAAATATGTAAATTAAAAAATTTTACCATAAATAAGCACTTGATGAATCTTTTTTTAATTCCTTTCCACTTTGTTTTCCTTCATACAGCTGTCTTCGAAAAACAACTGATAGCCGGCAATGCTACACGGGTTTCCGCAAGGGTTGCAGCATGTCGATTTTTTCAATTTCGTAACGTAGCTACGAATTACGAATTACGAAAATTCGGGTTCCATAATAGGGGTGAAAAATAAAGAGTTCACAATGCTATCCCTGCAGGCATCTTTTCTCCCCCCACGAGGTTATTTCCCGTCGGTATTCTTTTTGGCAGCGGAAAGTCTTCATGTTTAAGAGATTTTTATAAGATTCAGGCAGGAAATTAACAAGGATATTGATAGGTTCTTTGTCGCTTTCCTAGCTCTTACCTATACTGGATCTGACAGGGAATCCTTGTAAGCACTGAACAAAAAAGGTAATGATCGCTCTGCTAAGCCATTCTTTAGCGACTTAAAGCTTCTCCTTTATGAGCTACTACCCAGTTCCTAAAATATATTTTTCTAGTACTTTGAAAATGAAATTGAAATAAAGGCCTCAGGTAGATTGAAGAACAACTTTTTTAACCAACTTCAAGAAAAGGAAAAGGTTATCAATTCGGCGGAACATTTTTTTGTTTTATGTTACCGGAGTTGATAAGGTGCATGCATCAACTCCTATGCAGAATATGGTCAGTTGAACGCATGCCCGACGACTGGAATTTAATTGGAATCGAACGAGGTTTCTGACAAGGTGGCTCCCTTTTTGTGACTTCTTTAATCTGATATTGGATAAGATAATAATAACCACAGAACTGAACCGCTGAGGCACAATACTTTACAAGAGGGTGCAATTGCTGGCGTATGGACATCGCCATCATCGGTAATAAGAACCGCGAAGTCTGTTCTGCCTATTCCAAGTTGGATAGACAAGCAAAGCAATTGGATCTGGTGGTCAAGGAGAACAAGACGCAGTATCTCCTGTCATCAAACAAACAGTCAGCGGATTCACGTCTTGGCACTCACGTCACTGTTGACAGTTATAATTTCGAGAAAGTAGAGAATTAGAATTTCGTTTACTTGGGAACCAGCATTAACACCGATAATAATGTCACCATCGAAATCCAACGCAGAATCACTCTTGCCAACAAGTGCTACTTTGGACTGAGTCGGCAATTTAGGAGTAAAGTCCTCTCTCGACGTACGAAAACCACGCTCCATAAGTCATTCATCATGCCTGCGCTGGTGTATAGTACGGAGGAATGGCTTGGCTATGTCGTTCGAATAGATTAAGGCCTTCTCTGCCTTGGAAAGACCAGATGGAGAAGGGCTTGGCATTTCCAATTGGCGTCAGTTGGCACAAAAGAGAAATGACTGGCTTACTGCTTTGGACTCGGCTAAAAGCTCTTAGGTGGTTACAGGAAGAAAGAAGACTATAGTTTTTAATATCCAGAATCTGTTTCAAAGCTATCAAAAAAATATACTTAAGCGAACTTGAGCAGTTCGTTTAGAGATATTAGTACTACATACCTCTGTTTGCACACTGTCCTCCGCTATACCGCTGTCTCTTTCATTGACGTTCATATCTTTCTGTCCTATGACTCTTTGGTGGTATGCGATTTTTACCAAAATCGGTCCGCTGCTTCTTAGTTTTTTAATTTTGAAGGATAGCGGTGCTTTCATCAAATTGGCCTGAAAACAAACGGGTTTTTGGGCGTTGAGTTATTTTTCTTCCCTTATAGTTTGAGTTCTTCTGCTCTTATTTATTTTCTTAACACTTGCCAATTGTGGTGGTAGAATTTTAGTCTTTAATTGTAGAAAGAGTTAAATAAATATTCTGCTAAAGTTACTAGAAAATGGATAAAGGGGTATTCCCATAAACTTGAAAAAGCCCCGAAAGGCTCGAATGTATCGAAAAATGGACTGAACTATCATGATTTCTATGAAAAGTATCTTCGAGTTTTAATTACAGTTAGAGTAGATAATTTTAAAATCACAAAAAAAAACACTCCAGAAAGCGAAGAAAGTGGCTTCAAATCTGCAACAGGGGTGGAATTCCAAAATTTCAAAATGTGCCTAATGGACTGCAAAAATAGTGCCAAAAAGGAGATGAAAGTGCCATAAAATTGAAATTGCTTTCTTCTAAGGCTTTCAAAGAACTACATATATTTTTAGAAATAATATCTATTTTTAATGTACTTCATTGAATTATTAGAGTAAAATCATGTTAAAGTAACACAATATTCCAATTACGAAGGGGAAAACATACACATATGTGCGAAATAATAGCAGTGCGACATTTTGACCAGTTTTTACTATTCTTTACATTGAATAATTTTTATTAATTTTATATAACGGCCCTTATTTTAATTTTTAAGTGATCTTAATTTTCACTTTTAGAATCTATGAGTAATATATCGCCGTTTAAAGTACAAAACCGTGTATCCAGAGCCCAAAACTGAATGAATTGTGCCCTTGAAAAGTACCCTTGTGAATGAAAGTACCAAAAATGGCACTATTGTGCCTACTTTTCCTTCACTGAGCTGCAAGCTCGTCAAAAACTTCAAGCAAAGCGGAACGTCACGCATTCCAATCTAAAAGCACGCAAGCTAATAAGCTTACATTTCTCAAGTGCAGAGTAGAGAAACGTAAAACAAAACACAAACGACTATTTATTTAAAAACTCAAATAGACAGAAAGTAAAAGTAAAATTAGGCTTTATGCTAATTACACATCTCAACAAGCGTGAAACCAAAACCTGCTGGGCGACACGTTCCGCCAGTTATTCGTCCAAGCAAGATTCTCATTAATAGAATATCTCAAAGTGTTTACAAAAATTTTGTTGTTACACTTAATTAAGTGCAAAAAATTATCAGAGGCATAACAAAATAAATATTGCATTTGCGTGTAATATTTGTTAACGCCACTTTACGGCGTTACATTCAACATGAAATTGTACGCGTAGGCCTGAAATCAAGTAGCTATTCTCTAATGAGGATCAACTGATAAGAGGACAAATTTTATAGTAATATTTTTTCCAATACATTTTATGCATAGTATTATTTATTTTATTCAAGTCCATTATCATTTAAAAGACTCCTTAATGATTTATTTTTATATATTTTTTTTTTTCACTTGCAGCACACAACTATGCAAACTAGCGAGGAACGCACTAGCAATTACTAAAGTGATAACACATTACTGCTACATATTATTATATTAGCTAGTCCAGCCAATCAACCGCGCACTATAAAAAACAGCTGACCGTCGAGTCGATTTAGTGGAGAAGAAGAGAAAGCAACAAACTTCAGCAGCAGCAGCGCCCGCGTCAGCGTCTGCGTCGTTGTCGTTTGCCGTTAGGCTTATCATATCAGCAGGCGACAGACAGTCCGTAATAATCCGCACCAAACAACGCCAGTTGCAACAACAACAACAACAGCCAATAAGGCAGCAATCATAATTAAAGCAGCAGCCGACAACATGATTTCACATAGTCCACCCATCTTTAGCCATAGCCCACCAGTCAGTTTCCTATCGGACTACATGAACAATCATTGGTGAGTGATCGAAGTGCGAACGTTGAAATATTTTTGTATGTAACGTAAGGCGGCTAGGCTAATGTGTAGGAAGAAAGTTCTGCTCGAAACAGGATTATGTTATCCTAAATGCAGTGAAAGCTATTGAAAATGTGTGTAAAAAGTGCCTTCAAAATGCATTTTTGGTGAAATAATTGGCGAAAGTAATACGTGTTGTGCCTAATAATTTTGTGCTTATTTAGACCGGTGATTGTAAGCCTTGAAAGCCATGAATGAAAGATTGCAAACATAAAACTATTCTATAAAAAAATATACAAAAATTATCGTGGTTGAAATTTTCATGATATAAGAAATATTGCAAAAATCCAGCTATCTTTGGCTTTATAAGAAAATATGCTATTAAAAAGACTGAAGTGAAAAAAGAATACAAATTATTTGAAAAAAAAAAACCGATTGGAATTTATTATCCTAAAACAAATATCTTTAAATTCAAAGAATCTTGTAAAGTATTTTGAAACCGATTTTACATTTTGTCAGCTGTTTACAAATGCCTTATCATAATTATTTGAAGGGCGATCTGAGGATCAGTTCGAACAATCAAATGCAAAGGTACATAATATTATCCAAAAACAAATACATATGTAGGTATATACGTAGACGAACCTGAGCGAATTGATACAATATTTTCATCTCAATAACAAATTTAACCCGATAACAACTTTGTGGCAGCAACGCCACAGTGCATTAATTGGCTACAAAAAAAAATAAGTGACCACTTAGAGTTTTTATTGGCTTTCTATGCATGTATTGTTTTATTTTAGTTTATTCTTTTTAATTTGTTTTTTTTTTTCTTAGTTTATTTTATTTTGTATTGTCTTTTTTTTATTCTTTGATTCTTTTATTTTTTAACTTTTTTTTAATTTAAAGTTTATTTTAGTTTACTCTATTTAAATTGTTTTTTTTTTGCTTAGTATATTTTATTCTTTTATTCATTTTACTTATTATTATTTATCTTTCAACAATTTTTTTTTTTAATTTTTTGTTTCCTTACTATATTTTATTACACTATTTATTGTGTTTTGTTTTTTATTTTCTTTTTGATTTTTATCTTATATTTTGTTAAACACATTGTTTTCATTTATTTTTTATTTAATTTAATTTTTATTTATAGTTTATTCTATTTTGTTTTGTGTGTTTTTTAACTGTTTTATTTTATTTTTTTTTTTGTTTTATTTTTTATTATTTCTTAATTTTTCATTTTATTTAACAATTTTTTTCTTTTATTTTTTATTTCATTTAATTTTTATTTAAGTTTATTTTATTTGATTTTGTTTCCTAACTCCTTTGCTTTATTATTATTATTTTTTCCTTTTTTTATTTATTTTTTTCTTTTTTTTTATTAAAAACCAGAGTTGTGAAAAATACATTAATTTTTTAATGCATAGCATTTTAATGTTCATGTAAAAAATTAATGCATTAATTTTTTAAATTTAATTGAAATGAAAATTTAAATGCATTAATCCCGAAGAAATAATGATAATGATTTTTTTTTGCACTAACAATTGCTATTACAATCATTTATTGCATTCAAAGTATAACAAGCGTGAAAAATCCATTAAATAATTTTATTTTGAAGCAAAATTCTTTGTTGACGTTGAGGGTAGAATTTTGAGGTCAAAAAAGTTAGTGGCGAAAGTTAAGGTTGGTTTTCACTATGTAAAATTCAATGGCATTTGTAGTCAAATAGGTAAAACCACATTGTCGAATGGAACTAAAAACGGTTTATTGAATGATTTAGATCAGAATAGGTTTTCAGTCGTGGACATGTGCTGCTAAATTGGCTATCTGTCCGTTTTTGGTCCATAATATAATCGGCATGCACCATAAATCAACATAAAAATCTACAAAAGCACACTGAGTTGCACGCACTAATCACTGAGCTGCAATAAAGTTTAACTCCATCTTTATTATAAGTGGATCATTGTTACGGTAACCAGATTTCTGTGGAAAAAAAGCGGGACATTTCTAAAGCATCGAATCCGAACAGTTTTGTTTTTAATATAGTTTTATTTAAAGCAAAACATGGAGGAAAAAACTAGAAAAATGATCGCACAACTGTATATACACAATATATCTACAGCTTCTATTTTTCATATCCATGAATTTTTTGAGGGAATTACATAGTATTATTTTTTATAGTTTCACTAAATTCAAGATAGAATGGTTTCATTAAAAAAAAAACAATAACAAATAATTTAAAAACCTTAAAAAGGTTGAAACAAGAATGATAGACTGCAATATAGCGAGAGTACCAGTTCGACAGAATAAAACGTAACCGAAGATCATAGAAAATATGAATGCTGTCTATGTTTATGGCTCTTTTATATTCTATGTTCTTCGTGATAACGAAAGTGTTGTCACGTTTGTCCGAAAAATGGGTTTTGGACCAGAGTACAGGAAAACACTGAAAATCGGGATTTTATCGATACGAATATAAAAAAAAACGGGACACTTATACGCCCCAACGTTTAAGAAATATTCAGCGAGACAATTTTCTCGAAATCGGTACTGTTCCGCCAAAATCGGTGGTTACCGTAATTATTGTGTTTCTTTTGTTGCCGAGTGCGCGCACCACACACAAATTTCTAGAGCTATAAGATTTGGAATTTCACGCAGATTTCTTTGCTTTTTTCTACACACAAACAAAGCACCTCCGCAGAAGCTAAGAAATCTATAAATAGGTTGGAATATATATTTTTATTTTATTTTTTTTCTATTTTTCTACGCTTTTGTCAACAACCAAGCAGTGTCAACTACACTTATTCTGTATTATTTGTTACTTTTGTTGCTGGCTGTTTTTTTTTTGATACCGCGACAGCTGCTCTTGACACTAATGGAAGTCATGGCCAGTCAAGATCATAGCTTTTGCTCTCAATTGGCAGATACATGCTAAAGTACCTATTTCTTAAATTAAATTAAAAATGTCTTCAAACCACTACATATGCTATATATGCCTTGGGCATATGAATCCCTAATCACCTGCGAGAATAGCCCATCCCCCAGCCAACAAGTTTTGATGAGTATACTTATTTGAGCATAGGTCATGAGACAGCTGGCTGCCTTAAAAATAACTATTAAGGACAGAAAATTTTTGAATTATGTAGGTAATATGTAGATATGTACACTAGGGTTGTCCAAAAATGCATGTAAAAAAGTAAAGTCGGAATTTTTATGCTCTCACCCCCTAGGACTGTTCTATATCGAAAAAAGTATAGCCCTATATCAAAAAATATTTAGAGGTAGCTAAAGTGCTCAAAGTTTTTCATGTATTTTGTATGGGGAAAAAAGAACTTTTCGTGGAAACGGTATGCAATTCTTGAAAATCAATATTTTTCGATCGGAAGACTCTGTTTCTCTTCACCAGATTCCCAATAATAAAACCCAATTATTTTTTTTACAATTTTTTCTTAGTAACTATATTTTATAGGACCGCCAAAACCCCTAGAAAATGCAATGTGGGGAGAAATAAAAAACCTTCATTATTAAAAAATGGTTAAATAAATAATTGGATATTGTTCGTGGAAGTCCCCTGAAGAGGATCAGAGTTTTCCGATCGAAAAATAATGATTTTCAAGAATTCCATACCATTTCCACGAAAAGTTGTTTTTTACCCATACAAAATACATGAAAAAGTTTGATCGCTTTGAGCGATTCTAAGTATTTTTTGATTTCAAAATAAAAAATAGGGGTATACTTTTTCCATATAGAACAATCCTAGAGAGTGAGAGCATTAAAATTCCGACTTTACTTATTTTGAACCACCCTAATGTACACACTTATAAGAACATGAGAAACATTTTAAAATAATCAAAACTGTAGTTATGTAACACTAAGATTACTGCTCATAATCATCATCCACTGTAAAATTTACTATTAACATGCAGACTTTGCAATACGCTGTAACCTTACAGCTTCATGTAGACATCCTCTGTTAAATTTTATTTAAAGAAAGGAATAAATATGTTATGGGCACATTAGTAGTATTACAACATTAAACATATTAGAAAGACAGTCAAAAATTGTTGCCAACCGCAAAAATGATTCTATTCCATTTTTAACTGTTTCTAATCACCGTTTCACATAATAACTAATACAAAAAGAATCCCGCCGAAAACATCCTTTACATATCGCTTTCCTAGTGCTGTTTACCTCGAAAAGAGATCATGGCAACTTAAAAAATGTATGTAACTGAGTATATTTATAGTAAGTGTTTAATCACTAATTAATAATCTCACCCACTTGAACCCGTAAAGTCACAAGTTGTAATAAAAAATACATACATAGATAAATTTGTATGTACAAATAATTACGATTAGTTACATGCATGCAAACATAAATACACAATAGATAAGACACGCGTCTGAGGCGTGCTAACAGGCGGCTAGTTTGACTTACTAGCAACCTCCAGCCGGTCTAGTCGCCGGCTTGCCTGATTTAGAAACTATGGAAATGTAGCGCCATGATGTGTTGTCACTTTGATTGATAATGTCGTGAGAGGGGAGAAGGCAGTGTGTAAAAAATATGCATACATACATACATACATACATACATATGATTAATACATACTTTTGTGGCCTAGAAGAGTTAATATGGACCACATTTCAAATTGCAAAGTTTTCAGATATCTATGTATATATCGCACATTTAACAATATCGAGATGTAATTCAAAATTTACGTTTTTGGAGATTTCATCATAAAATTAATAAGCTTCATAAGAAGAATATGTTAAACCTAATAGTTGACTAAACTTCCCAATGTCAATATGTGTCTTTCTAACTGTCTTTTGGTATACCAGCTGTATGAATTGTTCAAACTTTGATAGCGTTTACCCACAAAATTGAAATTTTGAAATAATTCTGTATATTTATTATTAAACGTACAATATGTTGTAATGGTTTTCGAAAATGCCCAAGTAATAGTAATACATATAGAGCCCTAGCTGC